ATCAATATATACTGCATGTTTATATGCACCGAGCACGCGTGGCAGACTAGGAGGCTGTGATGAGTGCCTTTGCATTGCCTGGGAAAGGATCCTTAGTGGCACAGCAGCTGGAAAAATAATGGAAGATCAGGGGACTGTCTTTGGTGACAAACTTTCATCTGCTAAGTTACAATTATATTGTAGGAAATGATACCTTCGACTGCAACTAATTCTTGAATTCGAGGAAAGGCAGATCACTGATTCTTCATCAGGCTGCAGAACCTGATCTATAAAAATTTGGGCCTCAGCAGGAGGTTGTGTGTGAGTGTGATTTGCATTTCAATTCCTAGTCCATCATAACCCTTAAATCTTCCTGCAGCACTATCACAATGGAAATTTTTGTTCTCAGTGTGCTCAAAATACATATTAAAAAAATCCTGGTACAATGCAAGTCAGTTGTTAATGGGAAAGAATGTGGCATTTATGCTCAAATTGTTTCACAAAACACCATTACATCAGAGTCTTTCATCATTTTCCGGGGGATCAAGTCCCTTGACACCATCTTCGGGGACTTCATGTGGTGCTTGTCACTATCATTCCACTTCCACAAACACCACAGCCTTTTCAATTTTTATCTGCTCAGCACCCGGAATATGTTACATTATTTAGTTTTTGTAAGAAGCTTTTCTGTGCAAAGAAATTCACAACAAATAAAAGCTATTTCCTTGAAAAATGAGCTCTTGAGTGATGGTTGAGGGAATTTCGGGCAGGCCCCCTTTACAAGAGGTGGCAACAGCTCTGTTATTCTCTGCAGTTCCTCCTGCTGACAGATGGCTCATATCCAGCTGGTCCTCAACGAAGCATCTCTCCACCAGGACTGGCAACAATGGCATGGGGTTCAACACCTCCCCAAGAAGCTTCCTGGCCCGGACAGTGAACCTTGCTCTGGAAGAGCTTGCTGCCTCTCCCTGTGGCACACGGAGCCAGCCTGGGGCCTGAAGAGCCAAGTGGGACCCATGAATTCATGGAACTTTTGCAATTTGATATTGGTGTTATGCATGCAGTTTTATTGATTTGCATGCAGTTTTATTGCCGCTTACCCGGGTACAGCTAAGCTCGTCGGTCCGCACTGCGCAGGGGCACGTTTCCAGCTGCTCGGATTTCCAGGCTTCCAAACCTCACAGCCCGAAGAAGGGCTGCGTGACTGTCTATGGGCAATGGGGATCATCAAACACACATCCTGCATGGACTTCCAACTTTCTTTGATAGGGGCTTTCTATTGATTTCAGCAGATACAGCCCTTAGTGAAGGGCATTTTTCCTATCTATCTCATAAAAGCACTTTCATACAAGCTGCTCCCCTAAGAGGAGTGGGAGAAAAATCTCCACAGTGAAGGACCAGGCTCTTCTTGAAACACACTTGGCAAAGTGGGGTGTTACATGAGATCGCAAGGCAGAGGCCGAGCTTTTGAGAAGCTGTGGCCGTTTTTGAGGCCCTCTGTTCAAAAACACCTACAGGGTCTAATTCTTCAGTATGAGAAGACACTTTGGTATGAAGATTTCTCATATGGGACATCCCAAATCACCAGTTACTTTTCACTCCATTCAATGTCTGGGAGTCCAAGCAGAAAAAAAAAACATGAGAAAAATGTTTTGTCCTGAACACCCTGCTCAAAAAATACTCATCAGGAAATTTGACCAAGTTAGGAGTGCTAGATAAAGATTTTTTTTTTCTTTTTGTTAATGATATCTTCTTGTTAATAACACAGAAAGCATTCAGAAGTATAGATCTTACCAACTGCTCTTCTGCTTACATCTCTGGCATTCAAAACATAGAACTTCTGTGTTTGTACTACATTTTCCTAACAGCTTACATCGAGGCCAAATAGACAGCATTTTGCAGAGGTCTTCTAAAATAAGCTTATTTAAAAGAGCAAGGTCAATGCCCAACATATGTCAGATTCTGTGAGTAGAAATCAAAGAGTGAGGAACAAATGGAACATGTCAGAACTCAGTGGTTTTCCATGCCAGGCTCTTTTACCAAGTTTGCATTTTTGCTGCCAAAAACAGTAATGATCCCATCATATGGACTTTGGTTTTGTGTAAATGTCTAAAAAATCCCCCGTGTCTGTACATAGGCTAGTTAGCTCTATAAATAAAACTAATGCATAGATAAATATGTTTATCTGGACATGCTATTTATTGTCTGTAGAACTGCATTTTTCTTTTAACAGGACACATGCTGATTCCATTCTTCAGCCCTAGGCCTTAGTAAAAATCTGATTAAAAGCATTAGTAACGTAGTTAATTCCATTTATAATATGCCCATCACACATACACACAAAAGAAGAGAACATTAAAATAGAAAATATACATAAATGAGATCTATTTTTTTAAAAAAAATTCTGCTCCCTTTTGATCTCTAAAAATAGCAATTTTTTAATAAAACAGCAAAACTTTTCCTCTGTCAAGATAAAGCAACTCTGCTTGGTCTTTTAAAACATATCTTGCTGGATGATATTTGTGATTTCAATTAAAATATGCTATTGTCAATTTAGCCTCCCTGTTTGGCATTTTAAATTGATCCTAATGGCTTTGCCTTAAGTGATTTGCGTCCCATAGTGAATCCCTGTCAGTTAGTGCGCCTCCCACTACTGCCCTCTCGAATAATCACTATCAGATAATCACTTCTGCCTCCTTCTCCCTATGTTATTGCTCACTTCCCCTCTGACTCGGCATGCTGGTAGAGTCTGCAAAGTATTTGCTCTTTAACATCTTTAACATATGGCTTGCTGCTCGGGCACGCAACAGTTAGGGATGTAAAAGAAGGAGAAAAGCTTCAGGTAAAGGCCAAACCAGTGCTTCTACAGGCAGACTTGCATCTCTCCCTGGCATGTTTTCCATGAGTGCAAACTGGAGAGCAAGAAAAGAGAGCGAGAGAGATTGTACATGTATGTGCAAAAAGGAACATTTTTTTCCTTTGTGTGCAGCCTGCCATCCCATTTCCAATGAGCCCAGTTTCATGGTGAAATCTCACTCAAAAAGCCCCCAAAACAATAAAGTAAAATAAAATAAACCCTTCACCAAGGGCAACATGCACAATGCATGAACAGCCCAGCATGTGACAGAGCACCATACAGCCGTGGTGGACTTTCCCTAAAAATCCAACCTCGGACTTACCTGCGTCAACCTGGGCCTCCCAGCACTTGCCTTTCCATTCCCACTTATACAAATGGTAACGCAAGCCAACATTTCATGTCATACCTACAATTTTACAAAGAATACAAGTCAGAAAAGTAAAAAAAAAGCTTCAGCACGTGGATGTGTATTTGCATTTCACTGTAGCATCCTTCAGCAACATGCCCCTGCACAGAGCCAGCATGTGCATCAGGATGCATGGTAAACCACCAAGCTTTCTGTTCCTCCCGAAAGGAGGATCCTGTCACCTTTGCTTTTTTTCATGGATCTCATTATTAATTAAAGAATCATTTAGCCTGCATAATTGTCCTCTGCCATACATAATTCCAACCTTTCTCTTCAAATTGGCTTATTAAACTAAATACTCTCTTTTGTTTTTGTCGCTTCATTTATCAAAGCTTGTAGATGGACAGTCAGTGTGATGGGAAGAAAAAAAAAAACCAAACTAACAGTATTAAGGAGGAGTATTTATGCACATTTATGAGATCTGCCACCAGGTGACTCTATTCTAAAATATCATATTTTTGTAAAACAAAATGCAATTTCTTTCTTACACCCTGAATATCACAATATTCTCCTCTCCCCATAAGTTTTAGTACTCATTTTGAAAAAAAAAGAATGCTGTTAAATAAATAGTATTCCTATTTTAGATAGGAACTATATATTTTTTTTTGACTAGCAAATGAAAAGGTATTAGATTCTGGGATTTCCAGAACAGACTGATCTGTTTCTGTCTAATCAGACTTGATTAATTCAAATCAAACTGCAAACCTCAGTTTTATTTTTACTTTAAAAACTCAAGATCAACAACAAATCAGCAGAATGTAGATATCACAGGAGCTGTTAACAGAGAAAGCCTACAGACACTGAGTCTCAGGGAGTCAAATGGATATGATTAAACATTTGGAATCATTTATTAATATTTTATATATTCAAATATATACACAGCAGATAAGACCAGTTTGAGGAATGCTTTCACAGAGGATTTTATTATATTTATGCCTAAGAATAGGAGATCCAGCTCAGGTGTCAAAGGCTGTTTCTTCAAAATAGAAAAATTATTAACAAATAATAGGGTTATGTGAGAAGGTTTGCAAGCAACACAGAACTGCACTAAACCATGCAATGATCTACACAGATAATCAAAGTGTTCATGTGATACTGAGCACAGCAGAATAAATAAAATGAGATAAAATAAAATAAAACAATCTTGCAAATGCAGGATTGCAAATGCAAAATAGGCAGCAGTGCACAAAGTATTTCAGAGATTTACGGAGCCATTATTTCCATGGAATGTGTACTCAGAGAGGCTCTCAGACCTGACCAATTTAATACACATCAGACCAAGAAGACATAGGGTCAGTAGGCTGAATGTGGATTTGGGCACTTTGCACAGCTGTTTTCCTTAGGTGCAATACACTTGTCACTAGTGGTGGCATTTTGCATTTGCTGTATGGCAGCATATGTGCTTGCCACATTTGGGACCCATTATATCTCTTTACCCTCCAGCCACTTCCCTTCCCTTCTTATTAGCTGCATGTCCATATATTCTTCCATGCTCTTTAGCTATATTGCAATGCCAACTCTTTGCCCCTTCTGCTTGCTCTACTGACCAGACATCCTCCTGCACTTTTTACAAGCTCCCAATATTACAGCTGTCGGTAGAATTTAATATATAAGCTTATATAAGGGTATATGTATATATACACATTATATAATAAATCTTATATATTCCATTACTTAAGACCTTTCCACTGGAAGGTATCAAAGTAGCCATTTTCCTATTCAGAAATATTATTGCTGCTAAAAAGAGCATGTAGACACAAAAGTTGAAGTAGCTGAGGAAATCTGGGTCTTGCAAGGATAGTGTAAACTCAGAGTAAAAGCTAAGGTGAAAAAAGTGGTATTAGGGGCTGGGGGGAAGATTGAAGGGAAATGGAGAAACTATGTTTCAGCCTCTTCAATTAAAACTATAGTTAATGTAACAGCACAGACCAATTAGTATATGTTGATATATTGGCTTGCAGATAAAACAGATAGTTAAATATTTCTGCTTGCTTTGTACACACAGTTGCACAAGCAGGACTGACTCCAGGACTCATTTTTGTTCAGCGTTGGGTCACTGCATACAGCAACAACGTGAAGAAATTTGGCTAACATCCCATTTTAGGGGAGTGTTCGGCTAGTCTCCTCAGTCCAAACTCACACTATTTCCTATGAGGGTGTGGGTTCAACGGCAAACATCTCAGGTCTGGAGAGAGGAGCTTGCCCAGGACAGTTCCCACCTGAGTGCCGAACGGAGGGGCATTTCAGGCTCCCTGGAGATGTAGGAGCCAACAAGGGGCTATATCCTTCAGATAAAAGAACTTGATGCCATTCTAAAAAGGAGCTTTCAAGGGTTTTAAAAATCCCGGTGGTCGCTTTTCTTTTTTTTTTTTTTTTTTTGGTAACCGAGTCTACATCCTTAATAATCACTATTCAAATAAGGACAGATCTCCTCTTTATCCCTCCCCAAAATCAAGGAGCTCCCAGTCTGAGCACTTCATATTTAGATGCACATATGTAAGCCTGGCCATCAGAGAATAACCCTGTCCCTGAAAACGCATATCCATATTCAGCTTCTCTCTACAAATATGCCAAAGTTTAAAATCAAGATTTCCAGTTAATAATAAATGTTCAGACTCTAATTAAACAGGAAAAAAAAATTAAAACCACCCAGCTTCAGTCTACTTCATTTGAGTTTGTCTTCCAGCATTTTCTAAAATCTCATCCCAAGGAAGCAATCATAAAAATCATTAGGGAATGAGAGCTATTTTTATATGACGGAGAGAGCATGGAATTACCTTCCAGATGTAGAGACACAACAGTGTTTGATCTGCATGTCCTGTATCCCAGGCCTGCTGTTTTAAAATGATGCTCAAAGGCACTAATTGGGAAAACGATATTGCAGCCATGACTTAGCTGGGTTGTCACCCTTTCTCTAGGCAGCTGCTTTCAGCAGCTATATCCTTCACTGACACCTGCCCCATTCAGCAGCAAGCGCGACCAGTAACATCTCTGACTTAATTTCAGCCTAACATCTCTCACTTGCTTTCAGCCTCCCTGAGTGATGGAGCCCAATTCGCCACCGGCTTCCTGTGTAGACCCCACTGCATTAATGAGCAGTTTAACATAAAAAAACAGCCATTGCCAACATAATCTTTTCCTAAGTCGCGATCCTTTTGGAGATTTCCCTCTGTTCTCCCAACTTCCCTCAACATATGCTGGAAAGAGGCCTAGGAAGGAGGCCAAGACATTAGGGAAGGGTCTTGGCTTCTCCTTGAGGTGACCACGCTGCTCACCGGGCGTGGGGAGCCGGCATGGCCTCTTCAGCATGCGCCAGAGCCCCTCACAGATCATCAAGAGACTGATATTGCTATTGCAGTAGGACCCTCAACAGTTCCCCTTCAACTCCCCCTTCAACAGTTGGGGCAGGAGAGGCGAGAGGCTGCAAAGCGCCTTGCCATTTTAGTGTAAACAGTTACAATATGCACACATATTTCATGCCATTTCGCTGCTCATACAAATGCAAGGAATGTTAAGTAGGCAGGAGGCCCCCGAGCACCGAAAGTGAGGTTCCCAAAGCGCAGCCTGCGGGCCAGGGAAGCCTCTGAAGATGACACGTGAGGGGCCTCTCCATGGTGCCCATTGGTGCGTGAGGTAGGTGAGGAGGCCTAGCTCTCTTCTCCACGCTTTGCACAAATGAAGCACATGAAGGTCTTGCATTTCTGTTGACTTTTGTTCCGTGACCTTAGATAGCCCTTCACAAACACAACTTTGAAAGCCTCTTGCCGAGCAGCTGGGCACTGAAGCTACAACCTGTAATGTGGGTCGAGGTTTTATCACCCTTCGTGATCAGGAGGGAAAAGGCGCTTGTAGTATGTGAATGGCCAACTCCACCGCGTGGAGAAAGGAGTCGATCCAGGCTGCCAATGTCAGCTCTTACACGGATAATAAACTAGACTGGCCTTTCTCCTGACATCACACTTCAATCAAAAACTTTCTCGTAAAATGTCACTTTCAAAGTTGCAGCTTTAAAAAAAAAAAGTCTTTATAAAAAATTCATGGCCACAATGATCTGATAATGCAGCTTTCTGATACCAGCAGATGTTTTGTCTAACATGTTCCCTGAAGCTGTACTCTGTGCCTTCATATCTTTCATTTCCAGTTGCTATCTGCTGACTGTGGGATGTCATGTACGTACCCTATAGCGATGCGCAGCAATTCGCATCTAACACCGCCGTGCGTAATGAGCTTCACAAGATGCTTGTCGCAATAACTCCGCACTTCCCCAACCATATGGAACACAACACTCCAAAGCCCACAGACACTTTTTTTTATTACAGTTCAGATCCTTAAAACATAATCTGTGTGATGTCTAGTGAATGTACGTGAAGAGCTGCTGAAAACAAAGTTAACACTTGTTCACATCATCTGTTACAAATGTCCAATTTGGGACAATAAATTTCCTCGGAACCTGTTCTTTTGCTGACTCGTTGCTTTATCTTTTTTCTCTTTCTCTCACGTCGTTTTTTTTATGAACTATGCATATGTATTAAATGGGATTTGTTGTCCCTAGATACCAATTTGCATAAAGTGCAAGCCATCATTGGTTGGAGAGAAGCAAATTACTTCTCCAGCAAGATCACACTTTTTTTTTTCTTTTTCTTTTCTTTTTTTTTTTTTTAATTTTAACAAACCGCAGGCAGAGGCTGTTAACAGCACTTAGCCAGATATGCAAAGTATCACTTTTCTCAAAAGCAGTTTGATCAATGAGCAAAAAAAAAAAAAAAAAAGAAGAAAGGGAAGGTATTATTCAGTTAAGCACAATGCAGAAATAACCCAAGACTGAAGCAGCTAACCAGCCATTCACCTGTGAGTAACTAGAGCTGCCTGATTGCCAGGAACACACTATTCAAGTGTTTGGCACTGAGGACACAGAGCAAAACACCATGACTGAGCAGAGCTTCACAGAACCACCATCCCCTTTTCCAAGCAGCCTCTGTAACCTCCATAAATCCCAAGCTTGCTTGTTACTTTTACATGTCACACAGTTACCTCGCAAAACCTTTCCTAGCTTGTTCACATCCTCACAGACGTTTATTCATGTTGGGTGTCATTTGAAGGATTGTGCAAATGCTGTCTGGAAATACCTTTACAAGTGCAGGGAGGCTCTCCTCTGCCCTCTCCTAATTTTGCGGGCTCTCTGATGCCAGAGGTGCTCTGCAGAATGGCAGCTGCTCTCCTAGCAGGCTTTGGACAATTACGATCTCCCTTTTTTCCTTATGCTCCTCATTGTGCACACCTGTGACATGTTGGCAAGAGCCTTGCTTATGACAACATGACTCATTCCTAGGTTCAAAGCTCGCCCTGTACTTCTGGGGAGGAGGACAGAGAGAAAGAGAGAAAGAGAAACAGAAAGAGAAAGAGAAACAGAAACAAGGAAAAACTTGCAAATACTTCGAGAAACAGATTATTGAAATCCACAACGATGCACAAGATGATGTAACGACTCACTACTCCACTGCTAAAAGGAATTGCAAGCCATGAGATAGACTGTTAAAATGTGTGGAATATTGAATTTACTAAAGGCAAGAAAATGAGCAAGGCTGTTGAGCTGCAAAGTTTCAGACCAGGTGCTAAGACATTCCTTGGGTGATGGGGGAGAAGACAGGGTCCTTTCTAAATAAATTTCTAATAAATTTCTATTCTTCTGAGCTCTTAAAAAATGATTGCATGATCTTACTTACTAAGATGGTCACTCAGAATTTAGTCTCAAATCCACCAGTATCAATTATTTGCATTATTTTACCCCTGAGTTTAATGGAAAGACAGCATTCTCTTAAGAAAGTTTCCTGACACTGCACACACACACACATACACACACAAAAGAGAGCAATTCACGGTAGACACAGTACAATTAATCTGGGCAGTGGTGACAACTAGATACTGAGATGCCATTCAGGGAGTTGTGGAAAGCCAAAAGAACAAACTAGGACCCAGGGCATTTAAAATCTCAAGAGTGAGTTTCTATTTCCTTGTTATCTTTTGCATCTACTCAATGATACACAAATAGCTAGAAATTTTATGCTGTGTGATGATTTGAAAATGGAAAAAAATAGTTTCTGTCTGCAGAAATATTGGCATCTTCTTGCAGATTTCGTGAAAAAAGCAAAACCCTCCACCATTTCCCATATCTCTATTTTTAATGTATGCTTCTTTGTTTCTGTATTTATATTTCACATTTAAAAGGATTAATATAGAGTTTAAAAGCAGAGCCTCATTCCCAACGACCTCAAAAGCACAAAGAAGTCATGCAAAGATTATGAGGAAAACTCACAAGACGGAATTAAGTACTGTCTTTGAAACAGGGCTTTTTTGTATCAAAGGGCACTGCTACTATTGGCCAATGTAGTCACTGTCACTCCAGGTGAAATTACATTTCGGACTCTTCTTCTCAGATGGACAGAAACATATGAACATATCTTGTTTGGCTAAAGTCTGCAGTCTCAAAAGGAAGGAAAGACCAACAACTTTATCAGGCTACTCTTGCTTGAAAACCCTGGCACTCTCACCTGGCAGTTCCCCAAGGCAGTGTCTAGTTGCCTCTGTACAGGTGCATCTGTAGCATGACTCCACTGGCGACAGATGTAGTCAAAGAAATATATTGCAGCAGCATGCCTTAGCAGAACACAGCGCAGGAGCCTGAGCAGTGCAGCAGGCACTACATAATATGCATCATGGCCTCCTGCTGCACCAAATTTCACATAAACCTAGGCCTTTGGAAGGGCTGTGGTAAAAAAAAAAAAAAAAAAAAAGTGCTTTTTCTCATTCCTTATCTGTACCTACTCCATTTTACCTAAGGCTGGCTATT